CCAGAGAGGGCCCGGCTCCGCCCCTATTGCAACCGCAGCCGGCTAGCCTGGCCGGGACTAGAGTAATTGACGGGCACGTTCTCCAATCACAACGCCGAACGACCACATAATTACCAATTAGGTGGTAGCAGAGGCGGGTGCCGGAGCGGAAGCGGTGGGGGCGTGACCAGGAAGTGAGAGAGGAAGTGAGAGCGGAGCCTGAGAAGGACCAGCTGAGCCCCGGTGGTGTTGTAAAGGTGACGGCGCCTCCGGGTTCCCCAGTTTTCTCCCTTTCCCGCTCCTGGGTCAGGGGTCCCTTCGCAGCTGGGAGCCAGGGTCTCCATGTGCTCTCTTTAATGGGCAAGGGTGTGGGTCTACATATGTAAGCAGTGGAGGATCTTTTCTGAGCCACTTTCCTGGTTTCGCTTACACCTTCCAGGTTTGGTCTGGAGGAGGGTCCTTCTCTTAGCCTGGGTGGGGGTGCTGTCCCCTGTCCCCGCGGGGGGGATGGTGGTGAAGTTGTTTAAAATCCTTGAATCTGTGGGTGGTTAAAGTCACGGACACAGAAAGGGAGATGAGTGATGGGGATTGCGAAGTTCGCGGAGGTGGAGACCTCCCGCTGTGGACCGAGGTAGTGGACGGCGGAGCTGCCCTGGGAGCTGGGTTCCCGTGGTTAGGGGACTAGGAATAAAATGGGTATTGAGGGCGAAGGAACAGTGGAAGAAACACGTGTTAGGTGGGGGTCATGGTGGTTGTCGGAGCCCACTGTAGAGCTGGAGGCTTTGGGGTGGGGCGCGGTCCCTAAATCCCCTCCCCACCTCCGGGCGGTCAGCTTTTTGCCTTCTTTCTCCTCAGGCTGTAGCGAACACCTGACCATGTGGAATCCCAGTGCCGGTAGGTGTTTGGGGTGCTCTCTTCCCCACCCCAACCCCTTTCCAAATGGGCTCCACAACAGGACGTCTCTGTGTTTTCCTTCCACCTCTCCCCTCATCTGCAAAGGCCACGTCCCTAGACTATGGCTGACCCATGCTTTTGTCTTTCCTTCGAGTTCACCATCTCCCTCTCTTCCCAGCGGGAGAGGGACATGACCTTTTATCTCTTCTACGTGGATTTGTTTCCCTTACCTTCCATTCTCCTTCCTCACTTTTCCATTTCCCTTTAAGTATTGAGTGAGAAACTGAATCCCTGCCTTTTTGTTATTTGTTGTCAGAGGCCCTGGGTAATCCTGATCTTTTATTTTTAATTTTTTTGCTTTATTGATTCAGGTATTACATATGTGTCCTTTTTCCCCCATTGCCCCCCATCCCCCCCCTCATGCCCTCCCCCCCCCCGTTGTCTGTGTCCATTGGTTAGGCTTATATGCATGTATACAAGTCCTTTGGTTGATCAGGTAATCCTAATCTTAATTTCTTCTTTGCTTCTTCCACCAGGGCAGCCAGGGCCAAATCCATATCCCCCTAATGTCGGGTACCCTGGAGGTTCCAATCCTGCCCATCCACCGCCTGTCAATCCTGCCTTTCCTCCGGGCCCGTTTCCTACTCCCCTTGGCCCCTTTCCCACTCCCCCAGGAGCTCCCCAGGGGAATCCAGCTTTCCCCCCAGTCGGGCCCCCTTATCCTGTGCCACCACCAGCATATCCAGGATACCAACCATCAGGCCCCTATCCCCCTCCATATCCACCACCTGCCCCTGGCATGCCTCCTATTAATCCCTTGGCTCCTGGCATGGTAGCACCAGGAATGGTGACGGACAAGAAGATTCGGAAGAAAATGAAGAAAGCTCAAAAAAAGTCGCAGGCACACCATAAGCATGGCAAGGTCAGTGCCCTCTGGAGCTTGGCTAGGAAGGGGTGCCCCCTCAGAGAGACTAGGCAAGTAGGGGGTGACTGAGGGGGATTCACAGTCTGAGGACATGGGGCAGTGATTGTGTTGCTCTGGTGATGGTTCTTCCTTTTTATAAAGGACTAAAGGCCCAGTGCACGACTTCGTGCATGGGCGGGGTCTGGCCGGCCTGCCCCATGGGGTGGAGGGGCGGTAGGGGATGGGGTAGGGCCTGCCAGGGGAGGGGCCGAGAGTGGTTGGCCCACCGGCCCTGCCCCCTGGTTGAACTCCCAGTCGAGGGGATATTTGCATATTAGCCTTTATTATATAGGATTCCCACTGGGAAGAATCTGATAATTTTGAAAAGAAATATTAAGCTAATTGGGCTTTCTACAGGTGAGGGGCTAGGCCAGTGATGACGAACCTATGACACGCGTGTCAGAGGTGACACGTGAACTCATTTTTTTGGTTGATTTTTCTTTGTTAAGTGGCATTTAAATATATAAAATAAATATCAAAAATATAAATCTTTGTTTCCTATGGTTGCAAATATCAAAAAATTTCTATATGTGACCAGAGTTAAGTTAGGGTTTTTAAAAATGCTGACAGGCCGAGCTCAAAAGGTTCGCCATCACTGGGCTAGGCTGAGCCTTAGAATGGATCTCAGAATCAGAAGCCTTTCTTGTCTGCTTTTCTCTCTCCCAGAATTTTTGAACCCCTCCGTCACTCCCAGATGCAATTTTAATTGTACATACCCACTGAGGTGGTCAAGTGTCCGTTAACAGGGTCAGCTTTTTTTTAAAATCCTCACTGGAGGATATGCTTACTGACTTGAGAGGGGTGAGAGAGAGTATTGCCTTCCATACGTGCCCTGACTGACCGGGGAATCAAACCCACAACCTTTTCCGTATACGGGACAACACTCCAACCAATTGAGCACACCCACTAGGGCAGTAGGGTCAGTCTTTTGACAAAACAGTCTTATATTATAATTAATAAATAATAATCTGGCCCTAGTTCCTGGAGTTCCTTTCTCTCCTTCAGGGTGTTGTGTTAATTACATAGGCCTTTTTGACCTGCCCACCCAGTGGGGAAATTGAGGACTAGTGATTCTCAGCCTCAAAACTTAAGTTTTATGCTCAGCCCCAAGGCTAAGTAAGTATCCTCATTCTAGACCAGTGGTTCTCAACCTTGGCTGCACATTAGAATCACCTGGGAATCTTTTTAAAATCCTGATTTCTGGGCCTCTCCTCCGGAATAATGTTGTGGCCCCACCCCATAACAAAGAAACAGAATTTCCGGAGGATGGGGCCCAGAAATCAGGATTTTAAAAAGATTCCCAGGTGATTCTAATGTGCAGCCAAGGTTGAGAACCACTGCTCTAGAGGAGTGTTAATTAGCAAGGGTAAAAGTAGTTCTCTGGACAACTCTGCAAGGATTGAATCAACCTGGATCTTGAGGAGGCCTTAATCAACATTTTACTGCTTAGTATTTATTTCCTTATGGCTTTGGGCACTAATTCCTGGTTCTGGATTTTTTGTAGAAGTCTGAGGAGAAGGAAAGGTGAGATTGAATGGGGGATAAATTACCCTGGAGAGACTCCAAAATTGTTTTTTGTTTTTTGTTTTTAAATAATCTTTTAGCCCTACCCTGTTTGGCTCAGTGGATTGAGTGTTGGCCCTTGGACTGAAGGATTGTGGGTTTGATTCCAGTATAGGGCACATATCTCAGGTGCAGGCTTGATTCCCAGCCCTGGTTGGGGGAACCAATCGATGTGTCTCTCTCACATAGATTGTTTCTCTTTCTCCCTGTCTCTCCTGCTCCCTTCACCAAAGATACCCTTGGGTGAGGACTAACAACAACAACAACAAAATCTTTTAGCCTGGCCAGTATTGCTCAGTGGTTGGACATCGATCTATGAACCAGGAGGTCATGGTTTGATTCCCTGTCAGGGGGCCTAGGCCCATGCCTGGGTTGTGGGCTCAATCCCCACTTTGGCCATGCAATCAATGATTCTCTTATTATTGATGCTTCTCTCTCTTTCTCTCTCTGAAATCAATATGTGTGTGTGTATACTTTTTAATTCTCACCTGAGGATATTTTTCCATTGATTTTTAGAGAGAGTGGAAGGGAGGGGGAGAGACAGAGAGAAACATCAATGTAAGAGAGAGATATCGATTGGTTGCCTCCCACACATGCCCCAACCAGGGCCGGGGATTGAGCCTGCAACTTTAGCATATTGGGATGATGCTCTAACCAACTGAGTTACCCGGCCAGGGTTCAAAATGTTTTCAGTGACAGTTGTTGATGGGAGTATGCGTGTAAAGTACTTCGACTAGGAGTCTCCCAACTTTCTATCCCACTTTCTCCCAATTAGGAAAAAGTAGAGATTTAAATGCACACACAGCTGTTGTTTCTATTCACTTTTCTTAGGTTCATAGCCTCTAGAACAGTGGTTCTCAACCTGTGGGTCTCCAACCTGCGGGTCGAGACCCCTTTGGGGGTGAACGACCCTTTCACAGGGGTCGCCTAAGACCATCGGAAAACACATATATAATTACATATTGTTTTTGTGATTAATCACTGCTTTAATTATGTTCAATTTGTAACAATGAAAATACATCCTGCATATCAGATATTTACATTAGGATTCATAACAGTAGCAAAATTACAGTTATGAAGTAGCAACAAAAATAATTTTATGGTTGGGGGTCACCACAACATGAGGAATTGTATTAAAGGGTCTCGGCATTAGGAAGGTTGAGAACCACTGCTCTAGGAACTTTCCATGCAGCTAATCAATGAGCATTTATAAGGAAGCAGCTATTCCCTAGCTTGTGCCTATAATTTATTCCTTGCATTGGCTTTGGTAAAGAAGGTTGGAAAACTTGCTCTATATGAAGTATGTTAAATTCTGTACAATGAATTAGGATGGTTTAATCCATTCCTATATCCTCACTGCTTAAGGAAATCCTTGCTTTTGTGATTTAAGGGACAATCTGGTTTAAAACTCCTGACCTTCTTGTGTACCTGAGTGGCAGGGTAGAGAATCAAAGAATGTCCCATGGAGTGATCAAATGTCATTTGGATTGGATGCTATCTCCTTTCCCCTTTCCCCTTGCAGCACTCCTCCTCCTCCTCTTCCAGCAGTGACTCTGACTGAATACAGGGTCTGGACCCTACCTTCAAGTCTCTCCAGTTCTGCTCTCCCATCAAGCTTCAATGCCATCTTGCACTGGGGAAAATTAGCCATTGTGCCCCCCTACCCCTCTACCCCAATCTGAGACTCACTCTGCTGTTCAGCCCTAACTGCTTAGGGGAAATGGGAAAAGAATTGCCATGGGCTAGCAAAGGCCGTCTTCACAGTGCTTGGATAGAGCTTTTAGCTGATGAGGTTTAAGGAGAACTATTTTTTGAAGACGGTGAAACCTTTGAGCTAAATGCTGAAAATAAGTCTAAAGATCTAGAAAATGTGATTTTTAACTTTCTTTTGTAATATTTGTAGTTGGGGAGGTGTTGTGGAAACTTAATTGTGGGAGAAAAATGAACTTTTTTTTTTTTTTTAATTGTGGCATGCTTGGCCAATTTAATGGCAAATACATTTCCCTACAGACCTTTAATTGATTGCACTAACTGCAAGGCTGCTGGGAAGTAGAGTCCATTTGTTGATGAGTTCTGACTGCCATTTTGGAATTTAATCTCTATTCTTTAGTTCAGTATGCTATTTTCAGGTCCTCCCCACATTCTCCAACTCTCAATCCAAATAAAGCTGTTTGTCCTGGTCTCTGCACACCTGTGCCATTACCTTGGTTGGGCCTAGTACATTCCACTACTTTTGCTGCCCTTCCACAGTCGCTTTAAAGTGTATCAGTTTGCCCTGGCTGGTTTGGCTCAGTGGATAGAGTGTCAGCCTATGGACTGAAGGGTCCTCGGTTCGATTCCAGTTAAGGGCACATGCCAGGTTTCGGGCTCGATCCCCAGTGGGGGGGTGTGCAGGAAGCTTCCAATCAGTGATTCTCTCTCATTGATGTTTCTATCTCTCCCTCTCCCTTCCTTTCTGAAATCAATAAAAATATATTTTAAAAAAATATAGTGTATCAGTTTTATAGTAAGGAACCAGAGCATTAGTGAACAAGAGACCATACTGTCTCTATGTTTCTTAAGTGGGAGGAACCTTCAAAATTGGTTCAGGCTTGGTGGAATGAATATTTATGTCTTCTTTTTAATGAATATTTATGTCTTCTTTTTGGCATAAGTTTTTGTATCTGCTACAGAGGTTCTCAGCCCTGGTTGCCCATTACCTATCAGAAAGTAATTTAGGACTTTGTCCCAAATCTATTGAATATGACTCTTTAAGGCTGGGATTCTATAAGTCAGTATTTTAAAGAAACTGTTTGATTCTGTTGCACAGCTAGAATTGAGGGCCACTGGTTCACTCTGTGCCATGCACAGTACTACACATCAGGTTCTCAAAGATCTGTTGAGTAGAGGAAAAAAACATCTAAGATAATCTATATATATAAAAGCCCAGCGACCAGAACGGTCAATGAGGGGTGGCTATGACGTGCAGTGGTCAATCAGCCTGATCCGGGCTCCTGTCGGGCCCCCAACACCCTGGTGGGGGCGGGGCCAGATGGCCAACCGCCCTCGGCCCCTCCCCTGGCAAGCTCAGCCCCTGATCGGCCCCCTCACCCCATCTGGAGGTAGTCAGCCAACCACCTGTGGCCTGTACTCATTCTATGCCTGCCGGCCAAGCCGGCCAGACCCCCCCATGCACTGGGCCTCTAATTCATTAATAAAGACAGATGAGGGGTCCGGAGGGAAATAAACCTAGAAATAACTGGGAAGGGAAGGAGGAATCAAGGATGACTTCACAGATCAGAGGGATATGATGTGAGAGAGATTAGATAGGCAATTGCTGGCTTTGAAGATGGAATGAGGCCAACAGCAAAGGAATGCTGGCAGCGAAGAAATGCAAAGATGGAAAAGGCAGGGAAACAGATTCTATTCTAGTCTCTATAAGGAACCGACCCTTCTAACTTTGATTTTATTCCCATAACACTCATTTCAGACTTCTAACTTCCAGAATTGTAAGTGAATAAATTTGTGGTGGTGTAAGCCACAAAATGTGTGGTAATATGTTACAGTAGCAATAGAAAACTAATATACTTACTATAAAATAAAAAAAGTGATTGTGATAAAGAAAAAGATGACTTCACAGGAAAAGTGACATTACAACTTTTCAAATACCTCTTGCGCCTTGAGTGTGAAAAATATAAGTGGGAAAAATGAGATTTACCAGGTGAATGGCAGAGAGGAGCTGGGAAGGGAATGTGCTTAGATGCATATTCAGAAAGCTCCATAGTATATTTTGGAATCAGGTATCCCAGAATGATTTTCTGGAAAATTGTTTATTGAGGAAATATTGTATTCTGGGTGCTGAATGAGCAAGTCCCTTTCAAAAGGAGGTTTTCCATCTTCATTTCTGAATATGATAGCAACCTCGGTTACACGGGGAGAATTATATCTACCTGGATCACTGTTACGGTTGTATTTAATCGCCATTGTTACTTCTGTGGGAGCAATACATTTTGCTGCTGCTTCAGATTGGGCTTCCTTTTCTACCTCATGTAGCATCTTGTATGATTTTGTTAATTCACTTACTTCATGCATGAGGTTGTTGATGTTGATCATGAGTCTTTCTGAGCAGCCCTGGTTTTCTGGCATTGCTAATCTTTTACTTGTAGCTTCGGCTTTATCCAAAATAGAGAGTTGAGCAGAATATTTTCCATGAAATTTTTACTGTCAGAATCTTCGTTTGTCATTAATCTTTTTAAATATGCCGGGTAATCTGGAAAATGTATATCATTTGGACAGACTTTCCCTTTGCTACAACATCGAGTAAATTTCCCATCGGATGGTTTTTCATCAGAGAAATTTAGTGATAGGTAAAATTCACATCGAACAGTCATTCCACCACAACTATGTTCGAGGATTGCATCCTCATGTACTCCATTTTTGCTGAGAAGGCAGTTCCTACTGGTATTGGTAGTACTTGTTGATGACTGTTCTCTAGACATATTCTGTTATTGCCACCACCCTCTTTCAACTTCAAAGGCACGTTGGTCTTTAGACATTTTCTGTCGATAACACCGGTGTTTTTCAGCATCAGAGCGACGTTTTTCTAGTAGCTGGTGTTCAGATACATCCTATCGCAGGCGCCGCCTTCTTTCAAGATCAGACACACGCTGCTCTGCAGACACTTTCTGTCGATAACGCCGGCATCTTTCGGCTGCAGAGCTACGTTGTATCAACAGTTATTCTTTAGACATAGTCCCACCTCCTGTCACGATCTGAGATGCAGGTGAATGAGAGTCCTGGCTATCTGACCAATGGCTGATTCTGGCTGATTGTGTGGGGGTAGGACTTCCTCCTCCCTGCTGTCAGTTTCCACAGCTGTGATGAGGAAGCTAGGGTGACCGAGCTGCCCTTCCAAGCCGCCCTCTCTCGCTCTGTTCTATGTCCAGCGGTCTCCTGCTCTGCCAAGTCCTCCAAACCTTCTGCTCTCCGCTGGCAAGGTCCCGGGAGCCCATGGGCGTGGCTAGGCGCAGGAAGTCTCGCCTCCCCGACCGGCGAAAGTCCCCGCAGCCCGTGGGCATGGCTATGGCCTTGCTCCTGAGGCTGGCGAAGGTCCTGGGAGCCCGCGGGTGTGGCTAGGCACGGGCGGCCTGGCCTCCCTGACCGGCAAAAGTCCCGGGAGCCCACAGGCGTGGCTAGGCGT